AAGATTTTTGTTTTTTCAAAAATGAATATTATATATTGAACAAAAGACATTATTTGATTAATTCGTATGTTAAAAAGAAAATTCTTGAATGAAAATAATTAGTAGTTAATCGATATGTTTTAATGAATCGATTATAATATTAATAGATTAATAAGATTTTATGTAAAAGGATATTTCATTTTATCCTTGAACTTGTACATATTTTTGTTCAGTTGTTTTTTTCTTATTCAATTTTACTTGTATGCGAATCCTTAAACTCATTCAATCACGACTGAATCTAATTTAGTTTAACATGTTAGAATTTATCATATGAAAACTTTTAGTCTTAAATTTGAAACTTAGTTTATATTAACGAAATTGTTTATTCATATGGCTATTTTGTTCAATTTAGTTTGAAACGGCTTTCGATTCACAAGAGTGTGTACTGTTAGTAGCCTTCAAGCTCAGTATAATATAATGATTACAATAGTATAACGAAGTTGTATTAAGTGTGAGAACCAGTTAATTTCAAAGTTATAATCAAAATCATAAAAACTTGAATTTAGTCAAATATAACAACTCGGAAAAAATTCGAAATTATTCCTGCCATTTTGGAAGGTTTAGCAATCCTGCTGCTATGGTTGATGAGGGAAGTCTTCCACTTGTTCAATCACTTTTGAGTCGAGACTATGTGCATTATGTAGATCTCAATGAACTATGAATATTCTGAAGAGTTTATGCTTTTAGTTTATTGTTGCGCAGATACTGTAATTTTATGATATTTTAAAATAAATGTCATGACGCTCCTTAGGAACATTAGAAAAACTAATTTTCAAATTTTGACTTGAAACTATGCATAGAAACAGGCCTTAATCAGTATAATTTATTGTGAAAGTTTTCAAGTCTTTTGATTTGCTTCTATCCTAAAATAAGAACATCGAATCGATCGGTTTATATGAGTGATATAAAAGATACGCTTTTATCATATGCCAAGTTTTAAGCCCGAAATTCGAATATCAGATTTCTCGATGTTTCTGAAGGGCCACACTATGATTTAAATAATTACTACCATGAAAGTCTAGTGTCTCCACAGGAATAAACTAAGAGCACGAATTCTATTCAAGATTCTCATAGCTCAGTTGAATCTACATAGTGCACATAGTCTCACTTCAAAAGCGATTGAACAGTTCGAGGACTTTTCTCTTAAGTGCTTACGTGATTCGATATGTATCCACAACGTACTGTATTGAAATCTTGATTTCACCAAGCATGAAATGATTATGGACAGGTCACTAATAGTTGCTTTTATCTCAGGTCAACCGTTTGATAGCATGCTGACTACATTGTGACATATATCTGCTCTTGTAGCTAGTGTGTATGGAAAGCTCAAGCAACTGAGCTCTGCGTTGAGCTAGTTTCTGTTGAAAGCTACAGTTAGTATTAATTATAGGAAAGATATCGGGATATTGAACCCAAGGCTAGATAAGTACCCTGTACCACAAGGTTGCCGAAAGGCAAGGGTATTCTTCTTCTGTATACTTTTTAGCATGAGAAGATATTACTGAAGAGGAAAAATATGCTTAATAAGTGCAGGAAACTTGTTTCAAAGAATGAGAAATATGAAATATACTATTTCTTTTGTTTACAATCAAAGCAAAGCCTTTAAACTTAAGCTAATATTTGATTGTCATTGTCTTTAACTATGGATTATGTAAGATTTATCAACTAGTATGTATACATGATTTGTAAATTTCATATAAAATAATTAATGCTCTCTTATTTAACAATTATTAACATAATATAACATTATTTATCTATTGAAATACATTCAAGTATTCATTCTGTTTAAAAAAAAAATCTATCGAAATATTCGAAAAAAAGAAAATTGATATCATTAGTTGATTATGAAATATAATTCTGCGAAATAAGATATATGTAAAATGTGAATTATGTCATTAAAAATAAAAATGATAAAAATGTTTATAGACATTATGAGTCATCAAATATCTTAGATTTTTTTTAATCTTTTATGTTATCAAAACAAAAATGTGTATATGCGTCTAATGAAATAACTATAAAGTAATACGAAATTTTTTTCATTTAGTAAATATTTTATTTAATTTTTATTAAAATTCGTTTAATATCTTGTTCAATTTGAATAACATCACAACGTGTTGATGATAAAATATGATGACGAATCAGAGCTGCTTTTTCATAAAATAATTTCCCTCGTGAAAAATCACCTTTCATTTCATTAATAAGACAAATATTTTCCAATGTTAATCCTATATCAAGATGATTTATTAGATGAGATTTTTATTTAAGTTTTAATAATAAATTAAAATGTTCTAATGCTAAATCTAATTGACCAATACAATCAAAAATAGTAGCAAGATTATTATATGTTACACTTAAATTAAGATGATTATTAGGTAAATGAAAATTTTTTATTATTAAAGCTTTTTGCTGATATTCAAGTGCTTCCAAATATTTTTTTTATTTTCATATACACAGCTAATATTATTTAAACACATAGCAATATCAAGATGATTTTCACTACAAATTTTTTTACCAAATACTTAACGTTTTATTATAATATTCTAATGCTCGTTTATAATCACCTTTTTTTTTTGATAGACATTAGCTATACTATTGTAACTGTAGCTAATACTTGGATCATTCATTTTTAATGTTTGTTTTTTTATTTCAATTGCTTTTTCATGCCATTCTAAGCTTGATTCATAATCTCCTTTTTCATCAATAATAATTTCTAAACTATAATAACAATCAACTATATTTGAATGATCATATGGTAATTCTTTTAATAAACGTTGATAAAATTTTTCAGCATCATCAAATTGATTCATTTTTCTTGAAATTTTTCCTAATGAAAGAAAATTCATTTGTTCTATATTATATTGATATTTAATATTTTCAAATAAAATTTTAAATCCACTATGTTTATCATTTGATAATTTCATTCGAATAATCCATATTTAAATTTTTCCATAATCTTGTCGTTGTATATTAACTAAACGACATATAGGGCCTAATGTAAAAAGTATTTT